AGATGGTGCCAGGTTACCATCGTCAACCACTCAGAAAGAGATCAAAATAGTAGATCCTGGATAGAGTGGGAGAAAAATGTAGAACAGAACTCAAGATTCTTAAGGGGAAAAAAAAAAAAAAAAACAGAATACAAAACTTAGTTGGGTTGCTGCATTCAATGAGACGATGCATATAAAATGCTTTAGATGGTGCCAGGTTACCATCGTCAACCACTCAGAAAGAGATCAAAATAGTAGATCCTGGATAGAGTGGGAGAAAAATGTAGAACAGAACTCAAGATTCTTAAGGGGAAAAAAAAAAAAAAAACAGGTTTCTGATCTGATGGAGACTGGTGAAACCTCCAAGACGATGGCCCCTTCAGGCCTGGAATTGAACTCACTCCTATGGCATCCAGTCAAAAAATAGACAGGCCTACTAGGTGAACAGTTAAACCAGGTACACTCGTTAGATCAACCACGGGAGATCAGAAGGGTAGCATGTGCACTGGAAGATAGCTCAGAGAGCAGGGATGAATAGGAAAGGAGGACACACAAAAAAGGTAACCACAGGGGGGAAGTGGGAAGACAATTATTACATTATGGAGATTGCAATCAATGTCATGAAACAGAATGTGTATGAACAGTTGAATGGAAAATGAATTTGCTCTATAAACTTTCACCCAAATCACATTAAAATAAATGTATCATGCTACCTGAGGAGTCATTTGTCAGTATTAACTCTTCCTAAATTTCTCTTTCACTCATTTAGTCAAGGAACAATGTAATAAGCCAATTCCACAACTTCCTAGCAGTGATGAAATCTTCGATAAGGGCCTTCCTCCCCATCCAATTTCTTCATCTGTAACATGATGGCACTATGATGACTTGTCCCTCAAAGTTGGCAGCCTTTGTGAGTCCTGATGCTATTATTGAACACTTATGCTCTAAAACTAATCTCAAAATATATGAAAATGCAGAACTTTGAAAACTACTTTGCTGCGCATATCATGAAAATTCAAATAATCCCAAATTAAGAAGTCAATTACATGAAGTATTTGTATTTATCATTTCATGCATTAGAATACTCTTTGTAATTTTTCTACTGATCCTGTATTGTAAGTTTTTTGAGAGTAGGCATTTTATGTGTTTTACTACTTTTAAACTGCAGAAAGCCCTTAAAACAAAGACCCTCAGACCTCGCTTGCTCCATAGCAGTCATTAGGGGGAGTTATGCCCATACATGAGCTCACGGAACATTAAAATAGTAAGCCCTGCGCTCACCTTGCTTATTGGGTAATTTGCACTTAACCACATCTCTCCCTTCATTAGTAAAAATGCCATATGTCAATAACTTCACTTCAAACTAATAAAAAGCACAATATGTAACAGGGAGCAAACGTCTTCTGGACCTTGACCAATCCACCAGTTCACTGCCTGCATTGACACAGGGCTATCTTTATACTCACTGGGTGGCGTGGCCATCCCTGGACTTCCAGAACTGCATGAAGGGAAATCGCACCCTCACCTAGTCGTATTAAGAGCCCGAGACTGGCAGGCTGGGCGAGGCAGTTTATGTGGTGGTTAAGACCGCAAGAGCTCCCAGGTTCAAATCTGGCTCTGCCCTTTACGGGTCAGGCAACCTTGGGCAACCATATAATCTTCCCTCCCGGGTCAAAAAGAAGCTCTGCTGATGTAGTGGTTAAAGCATTACACTGCTAATCAAAAGGGTTGCGTTTGTACGCACCAGACCTTCACCGGAGAAAGATGACGCAGTCTGCTTGCGTAAAGATGTATAGCCTTGGAAACCCTACGGGGCAATTCTATTCTGTCATATGCGATCTCTGTGAGTGGGAATCGACTAAATGGTAGTGGTTGCCGGTCAATGGGGGGTAATAAGAAGACCTACCTCCTTAGAGCTGCTGTGAGGACTAAATGAGTTAGTACACAGGAAGCGCTTGGAGCAAAGCCTGGTTGGCACACAGAGAAACATTTTAATAGTGATGCAGTGTTCAGACCCAGGGCACTGAAACTCTAAGGCACATGTTGTCTGGGCATGAAATAGCTCCTGTGAGCTGCAAAATTTGGGAGCTCAGGAGTTGAATGGCCACAGTTGGGGACAAGGAAAATTTGGTAGAGATTTTGTAGAAATTTGGTGGAGAGCACAGGGAGAGCTGCGGCGACGTTTATCTAGCAGAGCACACTTAAAGCCTAGGTCTCCTTGCCACTGGTACCGCCACTGTCGCTCCTCGGAAAGAAGTCAGTCCTGCTAGCGGGGCAGCACAGCCTCTCTCCAATCAGACACTTCAAGGCTGGCGCCACGTCTACGACTTGATCCAATCTCCTTCCCTGGAGGGCGGGAACGCGAAGTTCCCACCTGCACCTGTGGCAGCGGTGGCCGCCTCCTATGTTATTTTCTTGCTCGCTCCTTTGCTCGCTCTCTGCCTCCGGGTTCTTGTTTCTCGAATCACTTAACCAATAACCAGCAGGTGGGTAGATGTCCCTGCCTGAACGGAGGACAGACGCGTAGGAAGATTCAGTGCGCCAAAGTGAGCTGCTGGACTCCCATCTCCCGGCACCTCCCGAGCTGCGGTACCAGGGAGAGGGACGCGCCAGAGAATGAAAGCCCACTAACTGGGAAAGCTTGACAAAGTCTTAACCTGGAGAGAAAAGCCCCACCTCCTGCGGGAGTCCACCGCGCGGGGAGCCAGGAACTACCGCTGAGGTCGCCGGCGGGACGCGCGTAAATTGGCGGCGTGAGGGGAGACCAGCAGCTACACTTGGGTCGGCCCAGGCTGCGGAGACTCCTCGCTCGCCTCCGATTGTCGGCTGGCACACCTTTCAGAAGCCGGACCTCTCGAAACAGCGCAGAGGGACTTTGAGCTTCGGCTTCAGGGGTGCCCCAGACTGCGTTCCTGGGTGCTCTCCGCTGCAGGCGCCACGCGGGACCGCGGGTCCTGGGAAGGCAGAGCAGGTGAGCGACCGGGGGTGGTTCTACGTTCACCAAGACAGAGGCTGGCGCCGAGGTGTCACTCAGGGTGCTGTCCTGCGTCTCCCAGTCCTCTGCCCGCCCCCCATGCGGGAGGAGTTGCTGCGGACTTCCAGCGCTTGCGGACCGCGGTCGGCGGAAATTTGCTGATGTATCTTTTCCTTGGGCAGTTCGTACAAAGCCCGTTCAAGCGTACAAAGTTGATCAGTGTGGACCAAAGAAAGTGTACAGTACAGTCAGAAGGTAGCATCCGGACACCCCCTAAGCAAAAAATAGCTTAGGGGTGTTTTTCCGATCTACAAAGTAGGAAGGAGCAGTATATATTTGGGACTGCACACTGCCTGAGGGCGTGGGTGCCTTTTATACAGAGAGAACTTTTGGCCGTTTTTTCTTCCATTGTTTTCAAATTGCAGCTGGAGTGTGCCCTCAGCGCGTTCTGGGGAGGCGCTGGTGTGGCGCCTTCGACATGCTGCCCAGGCTGCCACACCGCCTTCCCGGAGGCGCTCAGACTTCCTCTCCCGGCAGTTTCTGCAGAGGAGCCTCTACCAGCAAACGCCGCTGAAGTTTCACTCTTGAGCGCATGGGGAGTTCCAGGATCCCAGAGCTTTTGTGTTGGGACCTAGCGGAGCGGAAACCTAGAAATGACCCGCGGCGCAAAGAATCTTGAGCTTTTTTAGTGTTAGTTAGTTCTCCTCGGAAGGAAGGTTGGGCAATCCTACTTCCGTAGTGATACTGCCTCGGAAACCCAAGGAGGGGTCGCTATGAGTC